GAGAGAATTTTTCCCTTTTGGGAGGGTGGGAAAATATAACTCATCAGGGCAGCATGGGTCAAGGCTTTATAAACACACAGAAATCACAGGACATTTTTGTCATCCTTAGCTCCCCACGAGACATATGCATTCTCTACCAGTTCCCTCTCAGCTGGCTGGGAATGGGGGAGAGGGACAAGGAAGCATCTGGGGTGGAGTCCAGGCACCCACCCTATGGGACTGGGAACAAAGAACTTGTCAGAGAGAGAGGCTGAGGGGATTCCAGCTCAGAGGGATCCATGTGAGGCATCCCAGAGTGGGTGGCAGCTGGCACTCGTCCTGGGTACAGAAATGGCAGTGCCTCCTCAGGAGTCAGGGCCAGGATGTGACAAGGCCCCTGTGGCATTGTGGCTCCCCTGTTCTTGAACAGCTGTGCTGCCCATTGGCACTGTGTTTGAGAGCTTAGGCAGAAATGTAGGCTCAGCCAGGGCAAGAGGGGGGTTCAGGGAATAGACACACAGATACACACACACAGTCCACCATGAGGGTGCAGACCCCCGGCCCAGGGAGGAAGGAGGGAGAAGGTGGAGTGTGCATGTGTGCATGTGTGTGGGAGGGTGGATGGCTTTGTGGTTCTGTGTGTTTGGCTGTGCACGATGTCTGTGTGTTTAGCGTTGTAGGTGCACTTCTGCTTCAGTGCGACTCTTCGTGAGTCTGTTGTCAGGGTGAGGGTAGGTTTTTGTTCTTCCTCTGTCTCTGATGCTTTCCTTGGGCCTCGCAGCATCTCAGCAGAGAGAATTTTTCCCTTTTGGGATGGTGGGAAAATATAACTCATCAGGGCAGCATGGGTCAAGGCTTTATAAATACACAGAAATCACAGGACATTTTTGTCATCCTTAGCTCCCCACAAAGCTGAGGTTTATACACATTTAAAAGAGAGTGAGCTAGTCTTATGTGTGAGTTTCTGTCATTGCTATGTCTTAGTGTCTGGTGAGTGTGTGTGCTTGTTTATTTGATGTTTTTGTCTCCACGGCAGTATCTGTGTCTGTAGCTCGGTGTGCACTTGTGTGTGCTGGGTTCATGTTTAACTTTGCCTCTAGTGCTGTTTGCCCTTAAGAAGCAATGTAGCAGGGATTAGGAGCACAGGTTCCACAGTTAGACAACCCTAGGTTCAAATTTGAGTTTGGACAGTAACCAACCCATTAATCTTGAACAAGTACCTCCACTTCTCTATGCCTCAGTTTTCTCACAAGGATAACAGCACTAACCTCACAAGGTTCTGGTAAGGATTAAATATGGTACACAGCTGGCACAGGTCAGAATCCATTAACAGTCCTGTCTTTGAAGGTGCTCCTCTCTGAGAGCCATGTCTCCTTGGTTGTGACTGCAGTGTGTGACATCTCAGCCAGATCGTAAACTGCTTAAGGGCAAAGCGTGGGTCTTAATGATCTTTAATGATACTAATGACACCTCAGTGCCACCTCGGCACCTTGTACATATGTCACCTAGCAGTGAAATGAATTAAACAAGCATGCGAGACAGGACTGGTGTCTGGTATATGCTATACCTGGAAGTACATGGGGGAGGGTGGGAGCTGGTGATGGCATAGTGACAACACAGCCCAGCCAGGCATCAGGGTCCCCGTGGGCACTACTGCTCACCCCACCCATGTCTCTCTTCAATCCCAGGCTCCCTCCCCCTTCATTTCTCAGCATTGCCTGGAGACTCATTGAAAGGCTTCCTTCCTCCTTTCTCCGCTCAGTCCACCCCAGGGCACCAGCCTAGCTGCTGGGTAAGCCTGTGTGTGTTTTGTATAGGTGTGATGAGTGGGTATGGGAGCGCTCTCCAGTCTACATGATATTTCCTCCTTTGCAGCATGTGCATCGCTCTGTTGGGAGGTTTGCGCAATGTCCTTGTGTGTAGAGCCCCCTCCCTTACAGAGGGTATGTGTGTCTGTGTGTGGCCAGCCGCGTGCCTAGGGCCTGCTCTCCTCCCCCAGCTCTCCCAGTTACATAAGCAGCTGAGGGGCCAGTCAGGCCTAAGCTGTGGGCTCCCCCTACTGGCCATCTCGGGAACCCACAGTCTGGGGAGGGGCAGGTGGAATGAACTGTGTTCTGCCTCATCCCTTCTAGAGACACCAGTCCAGTCCTCAACACCTACCTTTCCCCAGCTCCTTCCCAACTCCAAGCCATGGTGTGTGGGAGGGTCCCTTAGTGCCCTGAAGATCTCCCTCATAGCACTCATACTGGAGGTTGGTTATTACATGTTTATGGTATGTCTCCATAGCACATATGACTGTGTTCCCTGAGGGCAGGGGACCACCTCGATCTTGTTTACCACAGCAGCCTTGTTTACCATGGTGGCCTTCTTTACAAGGGCATCTACAGGGCCCACCCAGCACAAGGCCTGGTTCAATCAGTATTTGTCGAATGAATGAGTTCACAGAGTAGAGAGGCTTGGGAGGAGAGACAGTGGAGTATAGGAAGAAGTGAGGCTCTGGGGACAGACAAGATTGGGCTCAAGTCACACCTTGGCCACTTGAAAACTGTGTGGTCTAGGGCAAGATGCTTAACCCCTCTGAACCTCATGTTTCTCTTCTGTTAAATGACACTATCTTGGGGCTGGCCCGTGGCTCCCCTGGAAGAGTGTGGTGCTGATAACACCAAGGCCAAGGGTTTGGATCCCTATATAGACGTGGCTGCTTATTAAATGACACTATCTTGGGGCTGGCCCGTGGCTCCCCTGGAAGAGTGTGGTGCTGATAACACTAAGGCCAAGGGTTTGGATCCCTATATAGACGTGGCTGCTTATCTCACTTGGGAGAGCGTGGTGCTGACAACACCAAGTCAAGGGTTAAGATCCCCTTACTGGTCAACTTAAAAACAAACAAAAAAAAGATGACACCATCTTACAAAATATGCTGTAAACCCTAGAAATAGTATCCAAAAGGGCCTTACTGTGTAAGCATTTCATAAATGGCATCTATTATTATTATTATTATTGACATTTCTTAATTGGGAAGGCATTAAATCCACTCAAGTCCCAAATAAAAAGAGAGTGGTTTTCCTCCAAAAGTTTCCCTATGACTTTGCTTCCACATAGCTCAGTAGTCTATGGATGGATTTAGATGAAATGGTCTGCAGAAACCAGGCTGCGGATATGTCAAAGTGGGAATAAACAGGCACCCTACTGCCCTGTTCTGGACCAGTCCTGGCAGTATTGGGAGGCGAGGACTGGACCTCTGACTTCCCTTCTGGACCCCAAACATTTCTGCCTCAGAGTTTCCCCAGTTTCTCCAGTTCCCGAATGTGGCTTCAACTGGCAACTCCATGAGCACCTCCTCTGAGTCAGGAACTGCGTCAGCTTCTGGGAATAGAAAGTCAAGGAAGGTCTGGTCTGGCTTGTGCCACTTCCCCCTCTGGGCCTCAGTTGCCTCCTCTGTAAAGGGGCGTGGAGAGTAAGTGGGCGGTTGGAGGGTGAAGGGTGCTGGATGAGCACCTCCCACTGATGGCCAGGTTGATCGTCTCCTCTTTGCAGACCTGGCTATCCCTTCTCCCAATTCTGTACGCTCACCCTTCCTGCCCCTCCCCACTCCCCACCGTCTTCACACTTGAGGAAAAGAGACCACCTATGAAGGATGCCACCTTCGTTCTCCCACCTCCAAGGCAGGCCCCACCTTGCTCAATACAGAGCCATGTCCATCTCTCCTCATCGGACAAAGAAACTCCTTCACCTAAACCATAGGTCTAAACTAGGTCTAAACTAAACTTTTTAGGGAGCAGTTTAAATAAATAAAAAAAACAAAACGCTCATCTCCTATTTCCTGTTAGTTATTCTGTGCCAAGAACCTTATCTACATTATCTCAATTAAACGTATCAATAAGTCTTTGGGTGGATGTCATCAACCTCAGTTCAGTTTTCAGAGGAGAAACAGGTTGCAGGAGGTTAAGCGACTGGATCGGGATCACCCAACCAGGAAGTGAAGGCGCCCAGACGGCCCACCCTCCTAACCCATTTTCCTATGGTTTTGCTCTCTGAGGGTGTGGCGAACAGGTCTCCAGTGACCTTCCAGATCCCCGGAGCGCCCTTCCGCCCAAAACCTTCACTTTCGGGAAGTCCTGTGTCCCGCCCACACCCACATCGGCAGGGTTTGCAGCGAGGACTAGTGACCCAGAGCTAATCACTGGATTCTAAGTGCGTGGCGACAGTCACCTCCCCGGCCCCAGAGCCCCTGCACCCAACTTTCAGGGAAAGGCCAGCAGGTGCGGGGCGGGGGTGCGCTCTGTGGGGGGATGGCTGGGGATTTGGATGAGCCGAGGCGCCGCCAGCTCATTGGGGCTGGAGACCCGGAGCGGAGCCAGGGCTAGAGTCTGGCGGGGCGGGGCGGGGCCGGGCCGGGGCGGGGCGGGGACGGTCTCCAGAGCTGCCGAGGGCGGGAGGGAAAGCCGCGGGGGGAGGAGGAGGAGGAGGGCGCAGGGCGGGGAC